ATATGTATTTATTATATTATTAATAATTACATTAAGCTTAACGATATTTTATCACTGTTTACAAACAGTGCGAACTTTAATTCTGTCAACATTACAACATGGTGTAATGTATTTGTAAAAGTATATTAATATCTTTTTGATTCGCACAATGTTACTTAGATTTTAATTGTAATAAGAAATGATAGTTGTCATTATGAACATAGAAATAATAACCAAATAATAGTGTATAGTGAGTTTAGTGTTGTATAACTTTATTGAGGTTATATTGATCTATTTAACTTTTTAAGGTTATAGTGCATTATTGCTTTGAAGATATAATCGAACATTCAAATTCGTCGACAATAATGTAACCTTTGAACACTCATGTGTAAAAAGAATGTTAATAGTACAACGGTATTTGATTTTACTAGACTGAATTTTCTGTTATATACTAGTGCAATGTATAAAGAAATTTTTTATTAATAATGGTTGATATTTAAATAAATAAAAGTGAACGTCATGGCTTCTACAAAAAAAGAGGTAATTGTATAAATTTTATATTAAAGATGATCCCAATATTTATATTTACTATTCTGTTTGCACGTGTATTATTTGTTTGCGTATTATATTTGTGATTAAAGAAAGCTCAATTTTTGAAGCTAGCATATTTATGCTAAAAATGCAAGCTCTAAGTGTAATATGTAGCATTTGATTCAATTTTCAGAATTTAAAGATTTAGATATTTAGAAATCAACCTGTAACTTTAGTACATTTTTTTTATATAACTTTATAGTACTACAAAATAAGAGGATATTTCAAATACAGATTAATAAATTATGTGTTATGCAAATACTTCCTTGCTGTAATATGATGAATTTGATTAAATTTAGCAATCTAAGTTTTGCTTTATTTCATACCACTATAAAGTTATATTAAAAAAGTAATATGATTTGATAATCATATACATACAAAGCTTCCATAAAATCTTGCCATCGAAGCTATAAATTGAATCTCTTCTATGTAGAATGTTTTAATTACTTTGTTTTCTTTTTAGTATACTAGTTTGTTCATTAATTCTTTTTTATGGTATTAAATTAATAATATCTATGGGCAAATTAATTTGTTAATAACACTAAATAAACGAAATTAATATATTTGTGAAATAAATTTAACTCCTCTTTTGTTCTTGATCATTGGAGACTTTGTAAGTACTTGTAAGCCATGCTCAATTATTAATATTTAGTATATTTACTAAAAATGTAATTATTTTTCATTTTGTTAGTGAGTTTATATGATAAATAATCAGATAATTGCCTATATATTTGTAAAGGTGAATTATTTATGATATTTGTATCACAATGTAAACAATGTTTTTATTTTTGATGATTCTGTCTATCAGATAATTAGAAATTTGTTTGTCTATTTGTCTATGATTACCTTTAAATTTCTATGTAAAAGATAAATGTAGATAATTTAAAATGTATAATTTGTATCCAATAAAAAAGGGTGCATAATTAAGACTGGGACTATTTGTTGTATTTTTTTGTATTTAAATATTTAAACACTAATTATTCAAATATTCAGCAAGCATAATTTGCACATTATTCAAATATTATTTAAGCTTCCTACATTTTAAACTTTGGGCTGTTCGTCATTTGTGAATTGATATCTAAAATTTCTGCTTACTATCTTTTATTTGAGGCAGTGCCGTTCAATTATTGCCCGTACGGGCAACGTATTAGTCTGCTCCGGGCATAAACAAATCAACGGGCAACAAGCCACGTATTTATGTACTTATATATGCAATAACCATTGCCCATCTTAAGAAAGAGAATTATGTTTCGAAGATATCTAACGCAAGCGTCTTTCTCCCACTCCACTTTAATATATGTGACATCACTAGCCCGCGACTTTGCCCTCAGTTCTGCCCGCGGGCATTGGGCATCGGCAAGTGTCTTTGCCCACCTGAAGGCCTACTGAACGACACTGATTAAAGCTGTACGGTATTAAACCTCCTTCTCCGCCTGCTCAACAGTAATTCCCTTATTGGTAAAAATTAACATGCAGCTGTCAACGATTAAGGCGCAGATAAATTTTTTAAATACAGTGCAATGAAAAAACCAATTCCGAGTTAACATCGAACGGCCCCGAGCGAGGCTCGAGCTCCTTATTTCCCTCGAATTGCTGTTTCAAATGAGATTAAAAAATTTGGAAAAAAGAAAATAATGATAGAGAAAAAATTTTTCTTGCATTGTATTCCTCCTTCGAAACCATTTAGAATGTCTTAAATATTTTTCAATATCATTAAAAATAAAGGAGATATTTAGGTGTTCATGTTTTACTGGGACACCCTGTATAACTTTATATAATTTATTCGTCATTGATAGTGATATTGAAAACCATTTCAGAAAAATAAAAGTACATTAAAATCTATTCGAGTTTATTTATTTGTCAAGTAAATTTCAGTATAGAAAACGTAGATGAGATAATAGAATAACATTTATGACAAAAAATTTAACACTTGCTTTGTTATCTGGGTCATATCGCTATCAATATCATTAATGTAGATAAAAATAATCAGTATAAAATGATATAATAGCACTCCTACGTGTACGTAATGAATCTTCAAACTCGATTTTTCGAAAATGAAATTTTATATGAAACAATTTCATCTACATTCTCTTCTTAATCAATCATATCATATATTTTATTCTTTCCTCTTTCTTCAGTAATTGTAAATTTAATTTATTATGTTAGAATGTTATGCCTGCTAAATATATAATTTATGGCTTTGTAGTATTATTTTTTAATTCCCATGTTAAAAATTCAATTCTGTACAAATAGAAAAGAAACGTTCCAATAATTTTCTAACACTGAACCAGCCTGTTTCAAAAGAACCATTCTTGTTTAAAGTAAGGGCAACCAACCTAAATAAACCAAATTAAATAAATAAGTTCTTCCTGGGAAATTCCAAAAATAAAATTGCTTATTGAAATAAAGAACATTGTAGATAAGTGAGTGGATAAATACGAGCGATAGTGTATACATCTGTGCTGACGCGACGCATACTTACATGCTATTTCTGCGGCATACATTCGACATTGGTTTCGTGCGCATTGCACTGCGCAGTTAGAGCCACTGCATTGTGGGAAAAAATGTTTAAGCTCCGGAGTTTAGTTTGGACATGCTTGTTCTAAATGGTCGTGCTAGATGAAACATCCTACATAATTCTATAAATTGTAGAATTTTGTAAATTACTTGTTTAAATTAGTTTCCCCATATATGAATGCCACTTTAAAGAAATAAAATGAACAACGCGTACAAGATGAAAAAGAACCTGCTTTGTTTAGTACGTTTCTGTAACTTTCTATTTTTCAAGTAACTTTGTAATATATACAAATAAATCCATATGGTGTACGACAGAATTTTTGGGAAAAAATATATTGTTGAATAACTTCGAGGTTGTTTTCTATTAAAATTCAGTAAAATGTCAACTTTTGTATAGAAATACAGTCAGTGTAAAAAGTATTCGTACAAAAACGAGCAACTTAAAATAAAACTTTATGTAATTGCGTTATTAATAAATTTTCACGAAAAACAACGATTTATAAATATTCTTAGGTGTTTCTAGAATAGATCTTTCGAGAATATATTTAACGAAGCATAATAAGGAAAATATATTTTGTTACAGGAGAAACTGATTTTAGAAGCAGACACCGTTTTCTTGTTAATGAAAAAAGGATTTCCTATATCACGTAATGTAAGGGCTCAATGGATGTTAGAACATTTAGATACTTTTATAAGTATACAATGTCCAAGTTTCAAAAGCAAGGAAGCAGCGGAACTTGAGATTGTATCGGTATTGCCAAAGAATAAACCAGAATCATGGTCTTCAGACACGAGTCATCAGTGTCTTTACAAAGTGACTTCCACAACTTCAATAATATTTCTAGCGCACAAGTATAGAATGGTGTTTAACTTGGACTTAAGCCCATCTCTTGCAACTGTAGTAAGTAATTTTATATATGTTAACATAAACTAATATTTTATTCTCGTCTATTTTTACGAACAAGAGAACATCGAAATTTATCGTTAGATGAGTCATCGTTACAAGCCAAAATAAGACGAAAATTAAGAATAACGAAATTATGTTTGAAGCTTCGTTTTTAAGTTATTAATATTTAAATATCGGTCAAAATATTCCTAAGTTCTGGCAAATCTCTGATCTTGGTTGGACGAAATGATACTTAATATTTCAGATTTCATATAGTTTATCAAACAGATTATCAAAATGATAATTAAATATTTTGAACAGTAAATATTCCACGTAGTAAATGAAATACTGTTAGTCATAAGTTGTTATTCTTTTATTGTGTGAAACCCTAAAACGGAATGCAGTGTATATTGGCTTAAGCGTCGCGACATCAATCAGTGGCACATTTCGAGGGTTTAGTTTACGACCAGGCTATATCGTGGCGCGGACTATAGCCTTACTGAAGTCCACTAGGGGGCGCAAGGCGAAATACATTTCCCTTTTCCGTCTGTCCTCTCTCTTTCCACTAATGCATCGTCATAATTATTATCGAATACATTGTTTGAATAGTTAAAGACGTATAACAATAGAGATTTAAATATTTTGATTACAATATGCGTATCTATTCGTAATTGTTTTAGCAGGTGTTCTAAATAGTCCTATTTAAAGTCACTGAATGTAATGCATTATTATATGTATTTAAAGGATTTTTTTTATATATATTTAATATTTTAGGATATACAACATGGCGAGATAGTTATAGATGAGGTATACATGGCGACTAAACGGTTCTTGGAAAGTATTATTAGACCTGTAAGTGATAACTTACTTTTTCTATACGTTGTTGATTAAAATAATAATTTTTAAATCTATTATGAAAATCAATATAATTATTCAAAGTACACTGAGATTTAGAAGAGGTATTATTTAATAGAAACATGGCAAATTTTTGAAACTTTATATTCAGTAGGGGAATAACATAGTGTAATAATTTGTTGATAAAAAAGAATAATTACGGAGTGCAGAAGTTTCATTAAAGTCTGTCTGTATTTGATGAAACTGTTATTATTACAGTTCACGATACCAGGGAGTAAAAAGATAATGCAACCAGAAATTTATGTAACTATAATAGCTCATACGCCCTTTTATATAAACCCTGCGCAGCAAGTTTTAGTACAGGGTTGGCTAGTTACTGTGGATAATGTTAGTCAACTTACAAATTTCATAGAAAGTCAATTGCATATATTAGAAGAGAAGGTTGCATGTATTACAGCCATAGCAAGCCAACAATTGGAAAACCTAAGAGCTGAAAGCGAACGTTTAGTCGGAGGGCTTTTTGAAGAGAATAGTACATGTTTGAACAAAAATAATAATACCTGCGTTTCTAATACTTCGATAATTTCACCGGAATCAAGTTTTGTCAACATGTTGAGGTACGGAATGCTAGCGCTCACTCTGCTACCGGAACATAGTTGTGCTCGTAAGTTTCACGAATATGCATCGATATACTAGTATATTAAAATAGGAATATATTGAATTAAATATTGGTGCTATTCAAAAATTTCGGGAGTTTGACTAAAGACCAAAAAGAACTTGTCCTAACTCGTAGTTTCCATTGTATCCTTCGAAATATCCCCCTCGGGGATTCCACGTTTTTTCGTTTTTACGAAACACACTTTATGCAACGATTACAGCGAGAATGAAAGTCAGAAACTGTGAAACAACGAGAAATCAGTTGTTTTTCTGCTTATCTTGATGTTTGCATTAAATATTTTTCCACATTCAATACTTCAATATTTCTCACAACTTCTCAGAGTTAAATCGTAGACAACTAACACCTTCTAACGGCAGAAGTCTGTACTACATCCATTTCGTGCGCGTTTAATTCAAATTCCCCGAAATTTTTGGTAGCACTACGTATTACAATTATCCAAACTAAAATGAATTAGAACGGCGATTACTTTTGTTTTAGATATGATAATCGTGTCGGACGGTGTAGTAGGAAATACCGATGTCCACGTATTAGATTCTGTAATACAACAACTACGTGCAACTACAATTGCATGCAGTTTTCTGCATGTTGGAAGTGCATATCATCCTCACTGTGCCGATGGTTTGATTCCATACGAAGATCTATTGCATTTCATTGCAAGGGCTACACTGGGCACTTACATGACTTTTATTCCATTTCCTGTACGTAATATTTCACTATTTATAATACTTATTTATACATACGATATTTCGTTATTTATACATGTAAATAACAATAAGATACTGAATATTCCATTATTATTAACCCTTCGAACCTTTTTATTAATAAAAATCTCAGATATCTTTTTTTGTTTATTTTTTTATTGTATCGTATTGTATATATCAATTTATGTGCTGAATTAAATCTCCGTGGGCGATTTTAAACGTTCTCCATCATTCTGAACAATTTTTGCAAGAACATTCTTTCGAAAACTATTAAGATATTCCACTGTGTTCAATTAAAAAAGACATCCTGTATGTCTAACTGTGCATCACTAGTGTTCGTCTGGATACTAACAATAACAAAGCATAATACACGGCGATTAGTTTCTTATTTGTGACTCACAGTCTCATTTGTGCGAAAAAAGATGCATTTACGGCTTGTAATTCCTTTCAAACTTCTCTTCCCCTCATCGAGCAGAATATGTAACGATTAAGAAAGAGTTAAACGCTACTTTCAACAAATTTTCAAGTTTAATTTCTTTGTAACAAAAAGGAAATCTGGAACGAAACAACTTTATTCTGCATTGAAAATTTATTTCTTTTTTCGCCGTTTATTTCTACACCTGAACGCTAGTACACTTTACAAATTAAATTACATTTACAGGTACATTTGAACGAAACAGAGATGAACGTTTATCATAAAAATTTTTTATGCTGGCAATTGTACCGTGAAGTATGTTGTAACATTCTGCCCCATTATTTGAACTGGCATTCGAAAAACCTAATGTTCTACGAGCAAAAGTCAACGCAGCTTTTGCAAAAGAAGCAAATCGAGGATAAAGTTACTTGTACATTGAGCAGTTTGTTGTGTTGTCGCCTTCGAGAAGGATACTTGATAAAACGCGCTAATGTCAGAGACGAAGTGCTTGAAATTTGCTTCGTCTTGTTGTGGAAGTCTAGTGTTTTACTAGAATATATAGTAACATGCCCTTGGTCTACAAAATCATTGTCCGCATCTAACACGATACAGTATGCGATTACTATAGAAGGTAAATTGAAGTACTATTTATTAATATTTATTAAGAGATTACTTAATCGTTTTCAATTACTTTGCAAAAGCGAACAAGGATAAAAGGTCTTTTATGTCATAAGTAATCAGTAGTAAGTGATTTTACGTCCGCGCTATATCTCTTCCATCGATTATACGTATCCTGGGACCTATATAGTAACATCGGTCACGTAATATGAGCGCCAAAGTAGCAATGCACTTGGAGTTATTTTTTTAAAAATCAGTACAAAATTTAAATCAGTGCAGAGCCTTTGAAATCAGCACGTCTGGTCACTTTAATTATGTAGTAACTATAGTAAAAAGAAGTAAAAGGAGAAACATTTTGTTACAGCTCCTTACGAATTTTTACATGACATTACGTGCTTGTCAAAGAAACCATTAAAATCACAATATCGCCAAGGTGTTGTGAATCGGTTTTGGGCAACTTTAACATCTTTAACTGAAAGTGACACTATGCTTGCACACTTTAGCTGGTTTCCAGAATTCGGTTGGACTTGGTATAGCGTACCGGATACCATTAGAAGTGGCATGCCAGTTTTTTATCTGTCTGCTTATCCTTCGCCTAGTACAGTACAACTTAGGTATGTATGTAAAAGAGTAATTAAATTCTTTTTAAGAAAGTAATTGATTCGATAAAAAATTTTTCACAAGGGCCTTGTTATTTTTCTTTTAAAGAATGTAAAAGTATTTTTGTATTTAATTCCTTTACAAAATGGCGGCGCTGCAGCCGCATCGTGAGTCATCTTGCGCAGTTAAACGTTCACTTAACGAAATTGCAGCTTGTACAAATAAAAATACTACGCTACAATAACCTTAAGAGCATTTTAGCAATATAGCAGCAAATAAAATCACACGTGTGCGTACAAATACAGTTACTTTCAGCGATGCAGCGTGCCCTCAATTTGGACAAATATGGCAACCGGTGGTATCATTGAATCCTCTGCAATGGGCTCGTTGGATGCACACTCAAAGAGTAACGTTAATTCTATCCCATGACAGACCACTGCCACGACATTTACATCAAGCAAATCAAAGTGGCCGTTTCCAATGTGTTCAAAGCCGTCAAGCGGCTGCTGTTCTCTACGCCATGCTGAAAAATTGGGCAACTTTCGTCCTCGTGGAAAATCACACCTACGTGCAGTTTATTTACAGAGAAGCAGATAAACCACCTGTCTCGTTCTCCTTGATTCGTATCAACTGCAAAGCTCTCTGCGTCATTCTCAACATTGCATTCGCTGCTGGAACGGAAGGGGTTGTTCGGCACAATGTTGTCGTCGACCTTTTAGATCGGTTATCCAAGCTAACTTTACCGAACAGACCCACGGAGCAGAAAGAAACACCTTCTTGCACCATCATACACAAATCTTTGGAAAAGATTTTAATTAGATACGAACGAGTGCCGACTGATTTGAATTCGATCGTTTTTCCCGATGGAGCACAAGCAACGTCGATGAGAGCTACATCGATGTTAGGGGGAATTCTGATGACTAGTTTGTCTAGATACCTCTATCACAATCGATGGCTTTGGCATGTGAAACGACCGTTCGTGCAAACAATTCCTGGAATTGTATTGCCAAGATTAAACATAACTGCTATTGCACGAATTCTTTCCACTATTACGAAGTAAGTGGTTTAGAGAGATGCTTCTTATTTTTACGTTGCTCATTTTGTGATATTGAAAATATCGATTGATAAGAAATTTCGACATGTTATTCGTTAACTATGTACAGGGAGTCAGTGAAATTTAATATCAGCGGGTAGTTATGATTCTTGTTGAAAAAATGAATCAAAAGTGTAGGGAGATCCTTTGTAATGTCATATAATTATTGCATTTAAAATATACAGTGTTTTTTTTTAATTGGATATGGTGGAATATTTAAATAATTGAAAATATTCAAAATTTTGTTGACAAAGTATATTAAAAGGCTTTCATTTCTTCATTTAATTTGCGATGATAGATTTTTCTAAAGAGGTAAAATTAGAGGAGCTATTGGATTTATTTTCTTACTTTTTAACTCTTGTAGTTTAGTATTGATCATTTCACTTTTAGTTGTATCATTGAAGAATATAATGCAGGATAATATTGTGTATGCTTATAATAGGATGCGATTAGCCGAGGGTTTTAATCTTACTTATTCAGCGGCGGGTATTATAAACATGGTTCTTGAAGTGCAAATGCAAGGAGTAAGTAAAAACGGTAAATCATACCCGTGCATTATCCAGTATATTTTATTTCCGCCGCATATTATGTCGACTACAACATTAGAACGTGACAGTGCATCAGAAGAAGACACCGACGAAGGTAAAAATACTTCTGTTCTATGCAGTGACATAATTGCTATTTATATTCCTTGGCTTTCCATGTATATTCATTTGTTGATTATAAAAAAAATTGTATACGATTCGACTAATTATATCACGTTTGTATTAAATAGAGGCTCATAGTTGGAGTAGACTTTTCATTTGCACAAACATTCATTGTAACGAATTAGTTATAGAAATTTGCAATTTGTACAGAATTATTTGTTCACATAAGATTTGTCGATTATAGAAACATTGCAAACGTTTACGTATAATTTAGCAAATGAAAGAAAAGTGTTTTGTATATTTTATTAGGCACTGCAGATGGTGAAGTGAGCATGGAAGATTGCGAGGGTTTTGGTGATTTTCAAATTATATCTGAAATTTGGATTGAACCTCAGTGTGGCTTTGCTCAACTACCTGCACAATCCACGGCAAATTATATGCACCTTTTGCAGTATCACGAGCTTCCAGATGCAGTAAGTACATAATTTTTAAATAAGATTGTACGTACATTGGATATTCACAGTGAACCAGCTGATACTATGAAGCTTTTAAGCCTGTGAATTTTCTGTTATTTCACAATACGTGTTGTTACAAGAATACGATAAGACGTATCTTTCAAACTTTTTTTTTTTTGAAAAATTGAGTCATTAGATTGAAGGAATTTATATATCTTAATTTTGATTAATACTTTGTCAATGGTGTTGATAGGAATGGTTGATCAATACTTTCTCAAAATTGTTAATAGGGATAATTAGCGAGATAGACGTAGTGTGTCAAGCAGCGATGATTAAGACGCGATACTTGACAGAGAACCGTCTGCGTTGCAATGAATCATCCAATATAAAATATTAAAATTTCTCTAATTTTTATCTTATCTTAATGAAAATAGTACCCATGAATTGGTGAGATTCTCCCGGTGAAAATGAGCCCAAACACGACATAAATCAGAGCAGTTCTACTAGCAGTCATCAATTTAAATGTCCCGGATTTTCAATGATGATTTTAAAAATGATTGCTCTTAAAGCTAGTCCGATTTATGTCGTGTTTGTACTCATTTTCATTGGGAGAACCTCACCAATCGCAATCTTCATAAAGATAGGATGAAAATGATAAAAATGAACGCCTGAAAATTTCACTCCGGTTTATTATCGACTGCTCACGCGAGTTTCGATCGTCGCTTATCGATCATATCCCACTTCTAGACCCTAAGTCCCGCCTGTAGCTTCATCTTTGCTTTGGCGATCTATACCACACTATATCTCTACGGCGATTGTTCCCAATTTTTTTTTTTTAATGTTCCTAAAATATGAGAAAAATCCGTTGTTCCACAGAGTGTACCGCACTTTACATAACACTGAATTGCACCAAATTTATGATACGTTGCACGATAAGTTTACGATGAAATTCGTAAATATGTATTTTTTCTAATTTTTGAAAACTGCTAGAAAATGAGAACAATTTTTCCGATACCTGCTCAGCGGAGTATCTGAATAAATATTGAAATGACGAGTTTACATACAAGCTTATCGGGATTGCAGATCTCATGCAATTCTCTTATGAAGCCGTTTATATTTCATTCATAATACTTCGTGTGAACTATGTTTAGCACAATGCATATGATAGAAGCAGCGATATGGTTCGCACTTTTTTTTTTCTATCCGCTATCTAACGAATTCATCCGAGCATTTGCATACTTTATTATTCATTCGATAATTTTGCCACAATTATGCTTTTCATTCGAAGTCATGTTCCATTATGTCATCAATATTTTACTTCCATAATTACTTCCATCTTTTTTTATCCTTCTTTTTAATAATTGTAAGTAAAGGGAAACAAGAACCGATGGTTAATTAAGAATTCATCTCTTATTGTAAAATTTGGAAAATGTATCTTTGGGGTGGAACTGGGCCCAACCTTTTCCGTTTCTCAAGATGTAGTCTTCATAGCACTATTTGCTTAATGATACGTCAAGAATGCTTGATAATCTTTCTATTTCGAAATGTTATCACTAGAATAGATTCAACAGGTCACTGGCTTACTATAAATAAAGAATTTTCTTTAAAACGCTTTTCGTTATGCATATATAACAAACTTCATACTATTCTTCTATTTCTTCACTTACATTATCACGCGAAAGTGGTGCAACATCCTATTTAAAAAGAACGATGATAACATCCAAGTATATGTATATCTTTTTTACGGAAATGTTTTCTTCTTCATAATTTTTTATATCAGTACTTTCAGCGATATTCGCGTGCATTCATCAAAATGAAGTGCATCAAAAATCTTTCATAATGTGAAATGCTTGTTTTATAATATATGAGATTGAATAATTTTTTTTTTTTTGAGAAAGACAAGATTGTTTTTATTTTCGGTATATCGTGTACACCTTGGGTAACATTACGTGATAATATTATAATTATACGACAATTTTGCTACCTTTTACATTACCAAAGATTCATATATAAAAGACAGTTAAATAAAATCAATTATTATTTAACTGCCTTTTATATATTCGTCCTAAAATATTTTACATTACACTATTTAAGAATTATTTTTATCAATAAAAAGCTGATCGACAGAACTATATAAAGAGCAAAATACGTAAATGTCTAAAAATGCAATATTATCAAATTTACATTTATCTAATAAGAATGAAGTATACTTCTTCATCGTGCAGTTTTTCACGTGCAAAAGGAAATGAACGAAATACTTTCTACAGTTTCACATTAATTTAATGTTTAAAAAAACTTCTACTTTTTCCTTTTACAAAATACTTTCGGTATTACACGTGAATGGATTTGATTTATCTTTAATCTTATCTCTTCTTTGGTTACGGTGTTAATACATACAATGATATACATACAGCGTTATTCTTCAAAAATATACAGGATAAGATTTGATTTGAACTTTCTACCAATGATCACAGTGCAAATTATCTGTTTTGTTTTCAATTCGAGTAATTTCAGGCAATAGTATATGGTATTCCAACTGTATTTCGATTATTTTACAATTTTCTTCTTTACGAAATAAATCTGGTTGCAAGTGAACCACAATTGAAACAATCTCAATCCTTGAAAATTATTTCCAATAAATTATTGGAATGAAGAATATTCCATGTATTGCGTCGAAGCTATTATCTCTTCGTTTCGTATAAAATGACACGTTTCAAGTATTTATCAGTATTATTGAAAAAAAAAAAAAAAATTACGAACAACCGAGTGAAATTGAAGTTCATTTAGAATGTAAAATTTGTAATTTTCACGTAGAATCGTTGTTAACAGAAAAGTATCAATAATTTATCTACACTGCACAATATTCTTCGTTGCTTTACTATAGAATTGCGCAATCCAGTTTCTTACCAGTTATCTGCAATCAAACTAAAAAATAAGATTTTTCTTTCGTTTTAGAAATACACTCCAAGTGTGTCAGATAACTTTTATCTGAGTCTTCATTACCTGGAAAATGATTACTAATCATCAAAAGGCCAAACTTCAAGGTGCATGTACTTATACATTGCAAATAATTTAATGCATATAGTTTCATATATTATTCGTATATTTCTGTTTCGCGGTCGTTATTGTTTTGCTCTTGACATTATACTTGGTGAAACATCGAAGAGGAGCATTTTAAACGTTGCAAGATGTTATTTTTTTTTCACATTTATTTTCTAATTTCAGGATAATTTTAGCTAGAATTTCGTATAATAAGGGAACGTAAGTTTTCTTCTGTTCGTCTACTTGCATAAAAATATTTAATATTCGTTAGATATAGAGAAAATATCAATTTAAAGAGAACCAGAGATTTAAATTGTTGGGAGATTAAATATTTTACTAAAAAAGTTACAAAATCTTTTTTACAATAAAACTCATCGTTGAAAATTTCTCGAAGTTAGAATAGAGAAATTTGAATTCGTTTTTTCTCGTTATAAATTGTTATCTTTACCAAAGTAACTTTTCCATTGTGTTGGATTAATATTTATTTATTCCCACAATTGACGGTAGTGAACTGATTTAACGAATAAAATATTTTCTAAATATCACAAGTATGTTTAGTTTTTCTTAGAATAATGAAACATTCGTACATGTGTACTTACGTACTTTCAAAGTATTCGTATTTAAAAAATCTCCAAATTTATAACTCTATAAATTAAAAACTTTTTAGTCATCCTTATGAACAATGTTACAAATCATACATATTCGTATCGTTTTACAGATTCTCTTTCTACCGTAATATATTTCACTCTTCGAAACAATTCTTACAAAGAAATTATTTTAACATAAGTTTACCAGTGTTGATAACAAAATTGAAGAATTTCACAAAACAATACTCTCCATAAATTCATTCTCATTCTCTTTCTTTTCTATCTTCCCCCATGTGCAACTGCTACAATATGCTCTCTCAGTTGCTGTACTTCAAATATATCGCAGTAATTCCACGTTCCTATCAAAAGTTCAAACAACACAATTTCACAATTCCAATCAGAATGTAAAAAAGGATTTTCCGATAATTCTGTCCTCGAGAGAGAAACGTTCGTTTTGTAGGATCAGTTGAAGAAAATAGTAAAGCAATATTTCTCGCAAAAATAAAGAGGGATATATATATATGTATAAAGTTGTCTATCACTACGTGTCGTTATCATTGTCGAGGTGGGGCTTCGATATCGATGAGGGTACTCAGAACAAGATTTTTCTATCAGTTAGCTCAGGTATATATAAGGCCCAACACGTAGTCGGCTGTATATTAGTGTTCTGATTACTTTTTTTTATGTAACTCGTTTCCTAATCTCCGCGTATAGTTTCCACAAAAGTCCACCATCCCGGGTTTCATGTGTATGGAAACGTTTTAAAGAGTGATAAAGATCTCCTAGTATCATCAGTCTAGAAAGTAGCTGCGATTGATTCTCCCGGAGGTCCTCTCGAGTGTCGGTGAAAAATTAACCAGTGAAATTGTCCAAATTGTCGTAGAAAAATCGAAACTTCGTCTCGTCGAAATTAACCACCATCGATGCTACTCTCAGTGCATCAGGTATATCGTTGGCCTAATATCACCGGAAAGGAAACTTAGGGACTGTGGAGAAATACGTGTACATTCTAAAAAATCAACTCCGATAAATTTCGAACATTCGTTATAATTGTAACGCGTTACTATGTAAGTATTGTGGATTTTGTAATTAGAAACATTTATTCGAAACTTTCAACGCTTAGAATCGATACTTTGACAAGTAGAAAGAATAACAGAATTAATAATTAATTAATCGAAATATTTGAAATTTTAGTTAACGATATTTATCTATTTCTTACGCGTTTCTATTTTTCGATTGTCCACTGTACGTCGGCGAAAGGCGAGTCAGAGATTGCCAGGAGCAGTCGATATTAGGCCGATGAAAAAGATAAGCTTGCAGTGAAGATTAACGAGTCTACGTGGGGATATCTGTCTTTCGAGGTTTCGTGGTGATCCAAGGAGAGAAAAAAAAAAAAAAAAGAAGAAGAGACGTTGATATCGCTGGTTGAGAAAAAGGGCACTTGGGCGTGTTGGGCTGTGATCTGCATGACTTGCAGTTGGAAGTGAGGATCTAGGCAGTGAGCATCTACGCTCTGATAACTTGCCAGATCTAACTCTTCCAGCTCAAGGTCTTGTTGATTATCATCTTCTCAATAGGAAAGGGATATCGCGGATATCGCATAAACAGAGAGAGAGAGAGAGAGAGAGCTATTTTTCACCGTGTAGAACACCAGAGAAAAATCAGACGGGATCATGGTACAAGTGGAGAAGTGGTCTCTACGCTTTGAATTAAAGTGAGATTCAACTCCTCCAACTTACTCCTGATCCCTGATATTCTTCGCGTGTTCTTTTCTTTTTATCTGGAGGCAGGCTATCTTCCTTGCTGTGGTTCTATCAGTAAGGTGATAAGTAAGGCTTTCGTGGAGTCACACTATTGGAGCTTCTTAATACCTCACTTGCCACGGCATGTTGCAACAGTGATAAAATCTTTTAAAACGATCCTTATCACGGAAACGTTTAACTGCGTACAATTGCTCGTGAGGAATTTTTATTTCTTTTCATTTTGCCTTGTAAATACTCATTTTTTATTGTAATTACCAAACAGTATTTTTTTATTTTATATACATACATACATACATATATGTGTGTGTTGTTTATTTGTTACATCATGTTGTTTTGTTAATAAACGATATACCGTGCGTTCGAATTAGTTTATATATAGTTTTTGTATCTTTTGACAAAATAAACGGAATTTCTGTGAATTCTGATGTTTTAATCGAAGTAAGCGGTTTTTCTTCTTCTTTGCTATTCTTGCGGTTTCTATGTTTATTAGAGTGCGTTTACTTCGTATTTTGTTGTTTCTTAAGGAAGCAATAGAGATGTAGAAAAGGATTTTTAATTAATTCAAATTAAGTTATGATAATCATGTACCAGTTTTGATTGTGCCATTGAACAAGGTAGTTTGTTATTTTCTTGCTTTACCTGCGTTCAAGATTTTGTTATGGATGGATGCACTGTTATGGTGAAGAAGTGATTCTGTTTGCATCAGTCAATAGCTGATTTTAATTATATTTAAACATATTACTTGTATCACAATTCTACACATTTTTTTCATATATTTTGTTAGAAAAACATCCTACTCCTTTAACTTTTCTTCCTTTTTCAAATTGCACCTGTTGTAATTTCTTTACTTTCTCGGTACGAAAGCATGGAAATATTAAGAGTTATTTGAAATATAATTCAAAAGTGTCTTACAGTAGTTAGCTGTTAAATGAAATTAAAAAATATAAACAAGCGAAGTTTAACAAAAGGTAGAAACCTGTTGCATGAACTTTCGAAAATAGTTCCTTTCAGTGCAATTTTCTCGTATAAGTTCTATCCTCAAATTGGAAATTGAAAATAATAATTTATGCGTCCTTAATTCATTTACAAGGAAATATATACTTAGGCATATAATTTATTCTAATTGTTTATTGTATCAACATGTCAAAGAGCCTTAAAAATATTTAACTGTGAAAAGTAAATAATTGAATTAAATTTTTTTTCTAACGTTTGCAAGTGTTGATAATTTCTGCTGTTTAATTTCATCAATTAAACATAATTTCTGGATTATCAATTTTTGTATTATTTTTTTCTATATTATTTCTGGTAATTTCCCAATTATTTGTATTATATATTAATATGGAATATTAATATCTACCATAAATTTTCCTTTAATATTAAACTACACACCTACCTTTGTTTACGATGGATCCGGAATGCAATAATCAGCGCAATAATATGTTATTGGTAAAAGCAATAACGATAGAGTTTATGTTTTTCGAAATCGTGTCTTATTGCGATAACGTTTAATATCTAAGTATCCATCATTTTTGATATCGTAAAAGATACTCCGTTTCTTCACAAATAAAATATTATGTATTTCAACATATACGTTACCGTTTATTCTGAGAAAAATAATGTCAATCCGTGTTTTATAACATTGTTATAATTTTTTAAAAAGCTTCAGACGACCAATGTTCGTAAAACATTTTTTTACTTACTTATACTCGGAGAAAATACTGGCAAAGTTTGATCAATGAAGATTGAAGATTGAATAAACAAATAAATATTTCATCTATGTTTCGCTATTTAATCCCTATTTCCATTATTCTTAACTAAAAAATAAACGTGCGTTAAATTTTTTTTTCAAATTGTTCCTATTTACAAATTTCGAATGAGATCGATATTCTGTTCAGAGTAATATCACAATTTGATTATCGTATTAGTGTAACTTGTAGAAATGTGAACGAACTTCAAAAGGTAAACCGGAAGTCATCCGGAGCTCAAATTTCCAAATTTGAATGTTTATCTTTGCAAAAATTACATAGTTTGCTAATTTTCGTTAATTATGGAAATGCAATTAGAAGTTTTGCGTTTTTATCAAATTTCTATACTAAGAACCATTTATATTCTGTTATTAGATCGCTCGAATAGACGAGGAATGCATCAACGCGTTACTGACGTTAGAGTATTTGAGTTTACTGAGTCAAGTAATGCCAAGTGAAAAAAATACTGATATTATTTATGGACAAGTTCATCATGACATCAAGCTACCGAAAAAATATAGCAGAAACATCAAGAATAATGGCTGCAACGTTGAGGAATCCTGCGAAGGTTTACCAACTATCGACGAAAGGATACACATGATGCATTTTTCCTTCGATACGTTGAATATATTGCCAAAATGTCAACAAGCTGAATTGTTGTTCTCCATGTTTACCGGTGGTAAGACTTATCATTCAAGATAAGAATACAATAATACAAGTCAATTTAATATAATTATATTTATTGAAATTAGGCCTGATTAACAACGACGAAGAGCGTGGAAGTGCAAATAAGATACTAATGGACAATTTCCTGAAACACATGAAACAGTTGCACAATAAAGAACTTCTGTTAACATCGGCTGAATCGCAACGATTCACAAAGATGCTTCTCGACAGACGTCGAATCGGTGGTCCACCTTTATCGTTTTTCTCTCAAAAAGGTAATAGTGTAAATTGTACAAGATCTTCTCGTACAATTACGTATACAAAATGTCTGTTATTATTCAAATGTGTCTACTGATTTGAACGTTGTTCACAGTGAAACACTTTTCCAACGACGAGCTAAACTCTTATCCACGTTGGAAGTGCTTCATTAAAGGAATTAGCACAACTCACGTAATTATCACAATTTTACCTGCATCAGAGAAAGATGTACGTTTATTTATGTCTCCTTCGCATACAGAAGAATACATGGCAAGCAATAGTTCGAGAAAGAATTCCGAATCAGTGATATTCAACATGGATCTGAAGGAGAGCGAATTGTATTCGAAAGCTTGCACGACGGATGTTAACGTGACCGATTGTTTGTCGTTAAAGAATAACGAATCGAAATTGTACGATCAGTGCATTGACAATAGCACGTTGGAGATAAATGCGCAAAGAAGAAGTCAAGATTGCGACGAAGGTCTCGTTATTCCAGTTTATGTCTATGATTGTTCGTTAGCTTTGTTGATCGATACGCTGGTCGATAAATTGAAAATATCACACAACAAGGATATTTATCAAGATCACACGTTTAGAGTTGGTCAACAGGATTGTAAAGATTTCGTCGAGTTGAAATACGATTATAACGCGAAACCGTCGACGCCGGAACCGAAAAGCGAGGATTCCGACAATACTTCTAGTGGTAGGCAAAAATGTCTGATTGTTAATAATAGTATTACAGTCTAGTACTTCTAACATATTGCAAAAATGAACGAGTTATTAATCATGATGTAATTTATCTGCTTGTAATTTTTAATTTTTTCTTCTATTAATTCCTCTTTTATACCGAGTGAATCCTCTTTGATATTTTTGAAGATATTTCAGGTTTCAGTCTTAGGTTATTCACCCTTACCACAGATCAACGAAGTCTTATGGAGCATTGCAAACTGTTGAGTTTGGCCCACTGTCATTGTTACGTGGTTGCAGTTTACAAATCATTAGTGCTGCAACAGCCTCTTAGTTATGAAGATATGGAAGCTGCGGTGGAACAATGCGAAGAAACTCTAATCGAGATTAATATAACAAATTATTTACGGTCTGTATGCAGACATTTGAGCAAATTATCAGAGAAAGATTTCTTAGACCAGTTAAATCCGTCTGCATGCGACGACGTCACACCGTTGCATAATTTAATTAAAGAAAAATTCGAAAGAATAATTACAGTTGCCTTTAGACCTGTACCTGCACACCTGGAATTCTATTATTGTTCACCATTTTGTTCAGAAAGTGAAACGGTTTGTTTTCAAAATACTTAGATATTTATTGATTTTTCAAACAGTTAGTAAGTAAAAATGAGTTGAGTGAATAAGCAGATTATATTCAACAGGATTTCGTAGAATTCCAAAAATCGGACAGCGATGATGAAATAGAGAATCTTATATTTCATTCGATAAATATTGATTGCGCATCGTCGCATAGTCTTCGCGAAAAAGGTGAGTCGAGTTTATTTAAAGAAATTCAAAGTAGAAACTTTTATCAGCTATAGTATTAATGAATATTATGTTTAACAGTTCAATCAGGAAATGTAACGTGGCCAGTAAGGAACGTCAACAACATTTCAAATATTTCAAGGCACGAATCTACAGAATCTCTCAACAGCAACCTGCAGGATAAACATATTTATGGAAGAGAACAGCCTCTTTTCTTACAATTAAGTTGTTCTATTAGATTTCAATCTAGATCTGGTCTTAGTAGTATTCCTGTAAAGTCTCTCCCGACGTGTTTCATGGAAATTGTACAAAAGATGGAAGATTGTAAGGACAAGGATATAGCTAATTTGAGTCTAACTGATTTAAAAATCACCCTGGACATCATTTGTTTAAATCTTCCTAAGGAAGTGCTAGAAATAAGTCTCGAACGATATTCTGGTTTAAGAGCAACCTCGTTTTGCAGTGGTTCACCTATAGGTAGTTTGAGAACAGAAAGTGGAGGTAGTCTAGAAAATAATGCTAGAAATGAATTGTTTCAAGAAAGAATGTCTCATTTACCTTTGAGTCAACATAATGCCATAAGTAATTTAAGGGACGAAATCGAATGGCTTTTGCAAGATGAAACTGCAACTGCCCTTTTAGATAGATCTACTATAAATGAAGATATTTTAAGATTCGTTGCAAATCACGTATCTGAATCAACGGATAGATTTAGTTGCAAGGTAGAAAAAGTTCCTTTGCACTTTGTTTTCCCTTCAGAGGATTGCAAGCCAAAGTTTATAAGTGAATTGAAGAAACTTCAAATCGATAAATATTGTATCCGTCAAGAAGGGAATTTGTTTTATTTTGTGAAGAATTTAGAACAAGCGTCAAACGATTCTGTTCTAGAACAGTTTAGAAATGAAAGAAAAGAATCGAAAACGAAAGAAGGTATGTTCTTATCCTGAAATATTCTTGCGTGTTGTTTAGAAGGGGAAAGTCTTTCTAAACAGAACATGTAATACAAAATATAATTAAATATTAGAACGTAGTTTTGGTTGTAAGTTAAGCAAACTCATAAATCTGTATATTTCTGACTTTTAAGGTAATACTGCAGAAAAGATGGAACAAGATAAACTATTAGAAAATATCAACTATTATGACACAGAAAATAATTTCAGAATTCGTTTTAAATCTCTCGAAGAACCTTATTTTAATCCTCTTAATGTAGCAAAAGAAAAACTAAGTGCCGATGATGCGTGTGAAGGAAATACTAGTTCTGAGAATTGTTTTCAGTGGTTGATAGATCTCGATAATCGTAAAAGTTCCCTACCAAACTTCTGGTTAATATTAAAAGTTGAAAACGACTACGTTAACGTCTATTTTCACTGTAGGTGAGTAATTATGAACTTAAGTTAAAGGTTGAACGAACATTTCAATGTCTTCTTTCAACATGCTTTGATTGCTTAAGTTTAAAAACACTGTATAATAGCCTATATTGCAATAATGAAAGAATATTATTGGTAGGTTTTTAGAAATCATATCGCCAGAAGTAAATAGTTATTGGTGCACGCAGAAAATGTTGGTCTCTCAGATAAAGAGTACTTGTCGTCGTGTAAATCAGTATTTGCTTCTGCAAAATCTTCACAAAACCAGCAAATGTTCGGACCTCCTGGAAACAGATTCAAGCGAAGATTACAACTGGAAGACGGAGGCGACAAACGAGTTCAGTAACATTGTACAGAACAGAGATTCAATGCAAAATTTCACCCCAGGAATGTTTCGATGCCGTGTTGTTTGGAAATTCACCTTCCAATTACATCCTCGATTAAAGACTGGCCCTGGGAGATCAGGACTTTCTCGAGGTATAAAAGCTCTACATGGTGTACTTAATAGATTTGCCGTGAGTAACCGGAGTAACATGTTTGTATATCAGGAAAATAATAAAAATGTATTCTATTTGAGATTACATGAGCAAATAAGCGACGGAAAATCATTGCAAAATAAATTATCCGAAAGCGACGAACAACTGATTGTTTCTCGCAGCAACAGTGTAGTTTCGCTGTCGCAAGTTAAGTTAAACGACAATGCTATGTCAAACGACACGAGACCCAGAGTTCGATCTTTCAGCGAAAAAGAATCGAACGTTTTAAATAAAACCGAGGATTCGATAATCTTAATGGTGCACGGAATATCCGACGCGGGGCCGGAAGTTAAACGTGATCTGGTGCAAGTCCTACAAAATCGCTTAGACGACGCTGTTCTCGAAGTTCTATCTGTTATGTTAGCAAGAAATCCAATGTGTAAATTAACACCCGCCGATGTACATTTTATTCAACCGCCGAAACCACCGGAATCTATCATACGACTGAACATACAGAAACATTGTTTATCGTATATAACTGCTTTGGAATTTTATTTGCGACAAAATATACTTCAGTTTTTATATATACCAAAGTATACCGACAACAGAGTAGATTATCACTTCCAAGACTATTCGCAGTTCGAAGGATCTGCCAAAAGAGTTTCCGAAATAGATATTTTTCTGTACAATCAAAGCCATTCTAGTGGAAGTAAAGGTATTGCTTGTATAGCTTTAGCAATCACAGGAGAACACGGAGAACCGATTGTATCATTGGAAAGTAATTTCCCTGAAACAAGTTTTCCTGAGACAATAAACGTGGAAGATTTTGAAAACATTGTATCGACATCGATATATGATAAAAACTCGAAAGAAACACCACCTGTGATTGAATTTAAAATCTGGAAGCAAGGCAGAGTTAATCTCGAATCTTTACTGCAGAAACTCTGCTCTGCGGTTAAACATGCAATCTGGGATTTAGTTACGGAATATAAATTCTTATCAACTCCGTTGACTGAGCCGCTTGTGAAAACCGCCCAAGAGTTGTCTACCGAAAACAAAGAAAATCAAGCCTCTGTAAAAACTGAAACTTTGCCGAAAGTAATGCACGATTTATCAATTGATCGATACGAGGCAGGCGAAGAAGGAAAATTACACAGCATTTATTGTGAAACGTTATCGCAATGGTTCCGGTTTGCATTAGAGATCGGAGTTCCGTCTGTGAAAAAGCACGAAGTTATTATTAATTATAGACATGCTGTACCGACAATTATCAGAGAATTAGAAGCTCTTCTGCAAAATCAAGCGCCGGACACTTCCACTAGAGCTTTCGTTTTAAAAGATCGACAACCTTTCATCGAAAAGTCTATCTTGGACAAGGAATCATTAGGCGGAATCAGGAAAATGAACCATTCTTCGTTGGAAAGTGATGAAAAGACAGGTTTACCTCTTTATGTGCCATGTGATTTCAGTAAGGATGTACAAGGGACTTTTACTAAGTGTATTTTAATAGCTAGAAATTTTTATCAATGGAAAGCTTCTTTTAGCAGCACAGTACAACCGGAATTACTTGTTCCAAAAGGTAAATACTTGTTTCGTCAATCATAACATAGCATTGCAATTTGATTAAACGCTAAAAAAATGTTTTTCTCAAGAATAAATAATTTAGTATTAAGTACTTAATATTTTTTTTTAATTCATTTGAAAAATTTATTTTTCTTATAGACCAAAAACTTCTACAAAAATTTAATCCTTTGATACTGGAATCTAATTTCGTGTCAAGACAACGAATATTACTTGCTGAAGTTCGGAGTAACAATGTAAGTGATAGTATAACGTAATTAGAAGGGACAATGCTAAATTACAATAGAAAAGATTCAAAATACATATGTGTAATATTTCATTTAAAAAAAGTATCATTTATATGTTTCAGTTAAGTATAAGTTTTCAGAAAATGGTATAGAAATGCTTTAATCATTGTTTCAAGCAGCTAAAAATAAAATTAACTAATTTTTAATACATAGAAATGCAGTTTCGATCTAAAAACCGATCGAATAATTCTTCGATGCATAATAACGTTTCAATTATTTTGTAATAAGTTAGATGGTGTTCTGTGTTCATTACATAATTAAGATTATGTGTCCTCGTTAAATTAATAGGAAATTAAACTACTATTGTAGATAACTCTCTATACGTATAATTGGTCAAAGGAAAAGTCTGAAAAATTAATAAAACAAACTGTCAGTTTGGGCACGTGGCTTTCATCAAGATCGAATTTCTTCACGAACGTAATAATGCAGAAGTTAGGGATATTCCATCATCGTCCGAATTTTTTGAGGGAACAGACAAACTCGCAATATTATCAAATTACGGACATGGAAAGTCTTACGAAGTTTTCTTCTGCGTCGCATAACGATGGAAAAGATTGGACAAGATTGAATAACAGACAACAAAACGTAAAGCATAATCAATTTTCGTGGAACGAAGTAATTGGCCAGACGATGCGAGATGTAAAACCTAATAGTTACTTTCACAATAATATGGATCCAACGATGAAAGCAGTTTGTGATCTGCAAGATTTTCGATGTCGTGAGAAAAAAGTGAAAGGTAAATGAAGAAAAGATGAAGTTTAATTTCACTCTGTTTCCTAATTGATATATAAGTACAAGAAATTATGGATTCGTAATTAATTTACAAAATTTTCAGATGATTTGAGTAAGTTATACGCAATGTGGCAAAATCGCAACGCTGCTCCAAATATTCCAGTTTCTATCAATGCTTTAAATACATTCAAACAATATTCTCGTTTGATACACTTCTGCCATACACCGTTATTGTTTTTACCTTCATGGCGTTTGCAATCTGCCGCTACAAGGGATCACTCGCTCACGGTGCAACCATCTTTAAGCGCAAGCATCAATGTATATCAACAATTATCACAACAAATACAAAGAAACCAGGACGAACAAACGAATATTCTAAAGTGGCATCAAGAATTATGTAGTTTGATGTTATCTGAATATAAACAATATCTTCAAATATTAGGCTTTAGTTCGGTACAAATAGAATCACCTGATAAAAGGTACATTTATGTTGTACGTTATACAGTTTTATTAATCTCGGTGTAATACTTTCAAATTAATTAGAAATTAACATTATCATATACATTCCAAACATGTGGCTCTATTCGTGACAAACAAATCAATCGAAATAAAAGCATAATATACCGAGTGTCTTAGGTGTACTTCTATACCTAATTTGAGTTGTTTATAAAAAATATGCGTTAGAGAAAAATATTCTATAAGATGTGATATTTTTCAGTTTTGAAGGACAAGTTCAGCAGCAATCGTATTACCTTAAAAAATCAATGCTTGGAGGAGTACTGTTGTTTGAAATTCATTTATTGCAACCATTTTTCATTGTTAAATTACATATTATCGAATGCAGTCGACTTCAAACAAAAACTAGTAGCGCCCTGATGAATCAAGTAAGTTACAATTTTACAGTTATTTTCAGTAATGTTCTCTTTTCATTTTCTTATAAATAACTGTAACATAAACATTCTTCAATGAAAGACACTCCGGCAAAAATGAACTAGTGTAAAATAGCTAAGATTTTGCCGCGACTCGCTAGAAGAGAAGTAAAACGAAATTTTCATTTATTACAGTTTATGCTAAGTTTCGTAGATGAATGTGATAAAATCAAAATAAATATGCATCTGCATTCGTTCACGTATGATTTTCATTTGCGTTGCATCCACTCTTACATTGCTGGGACTGGACCTTGGTCGTTGCAACAAGGTTATCATTTGATTCATTTTCTCGATGACTTTAATAAATATTATAGCAAAGCACCAAATTACGCAAGAAATCTTATATACAGTGGTAAGTGGAGTAATTGTTCAATATTCTTATTTTAGTGTTACTTTCGATAAATTCTTGTAATATAATTGATACATTTTTATATTTTAGATGTGGTAACCATTCACAATTTGGCGATCCCGGGCCGGACCTTGTATTCTTATCTACTATCTCATGAAAACACTTACAACATGCGTGTGTTTGCCATGAAAAATGAGCATGAAAATTCTCAAGAAAGCGAATACGTGTTAGTCAGTTTAAAAAGTACACCTTTAATTAGCTATTGTGATGCACAAGATACAAAGTATACCGATGATTTCGATGTTGCTTTGATTGTATCACATTTAGATCAACCTCCACAGGTGGATAGGACAGAGATTACTTTGAAATATTATTTAATGTTAACTAGTAAACGAGAATTATATCCAAAGAGAGAGGTAGAGAATAATAAATTGGGAAAATTTCGTACAGTGTACAATATCGAGAAATCTGCAACGAATACCTATACAGAGTCTCTTACGGATATTTTCAACGAATCTTCCTCGAGCTTCCAAGAGTGTAGACAAGATCTGAATGATAAAAAAAATGATCTTAAACTATGCAGTCCTAACTGTAATACTAATTGTAATAACACAGGTGCACCAACACCTCCACCAGTACCTAATTCTCCATTAACTCAAAATGTGAATCCTCCAAGTTTCTCGGTAAATGCTTCATCGCCGCATTTAATTCAAATACGACAAGAATCTATTAATTACTTGGGCTATTATTCGTCACACGAACAACTGATGCAACAAACAATAATGTCACAAGCGAATGCAGCTCACATACATATAAGGAATATGATAGATCGTGGAGCATTGCAATGCAGAACGCATCTTCTCTGGAATAAACTATTAGAAAGCAAGTCTACAATGAATTATGTGGAATTTTCGGAACTCTGCTCTTTAGCTCACGTTGAGCCTTTATCAAACTTAGATCCAAGACTCAGGCCATTTATTAACCAGCCAATCTCATGGTATCAAACATTATCGAAGGTTTTACAAAATAAATATCAAGAGCACCATAAACAATTTAACACGCCAGATGGAAATATTACTCATTTGCTTATATTACATCCAAGTTTCTTTCAAGTCTTCATGATGTTGACTATAGACTTACATGCTTCACGAGGGGTTTGTATATTTATATGGAATATGTTAATATTTTGTTAATTAAATTTGTCCAAATTTTGCGTCTCGGGTAATCCAATTTTTCTTATATTTTTAGGACTTATTCGCAGTTTATTGTAAATCAGAAGAAATAATTAACACTCCATGTTATATAGAAGATACTTATAATTTAATTGAAGGTTTTGTAAATGCTTGTTGTTTTCACTTGTGGATGAGCCTCTATAGTTAATAATAACTGCACATTCCAAAGAAATAGATTTACGAGTATTTGTACTTATTATTTATATGTGGTAACTTACCTAACATAGAATACAGAACTAATTGAATTGTTTCAAAGTGTTATATACATTTTCGCTGATTATTACTATCACGCTATTTCATTGCTGTAATTTGTATAAAATATATATATTTTTTCTAATTTCCAAAAAATTTGCATTTCCAGTTTACTCGTTTTCCTCCTTTAAAGATAGAAAATTTCAATACTAAATTGTTACTGTTGTATAACAAAATATTCCAGACTTAAAGGGCTACAAGTTATTGAAAGAAACAGTCGGTAATTCCTGGAAATCCCTCGATAGCTGCAACCGTAAGGTCCCGAACATGCCGCAACTGAGCGTGCACTATTGTAGTTGTTAGAATTGTAGCATTCTTAGCACCTCAGGGTTAAAATCTAATCGACAATGCCCATTGCATAATTACTTATATATCTGCCATATCCATGTTCTTGATTCTAATAATCAATTAACGTCTTCTTTAACATTTACCCCTACTACAAATATTAATAAAAAGATGAGGCGACATTGCTATTAACTACAGCACCTTTTTCAGAAAAAATATCTTTCACGAACAGGTGAAGCACTTATTCCATTTTTCTAAACTCTTCTGAGGTATTGACAAAATAAATTTTTCCACCCCAATTGTACGAACTATTTTCATGATCTATTGTCACGAAGTCACTATTTGCCGATTTATTTTGCAAATTAAATAATATGCTTTCATTGTTAAATATGGAGATAATTTTACATAAAAAAATAAATCGAAAATGTAAAGTAACGTGCATATACCCCATATCAAATTTCAGCATCGATTTATTCAAAAATATAACTTTGTATGAAAAAATGTTACCCTACCTTTCCAAATTATATTTTCATGTACCGGTTCGATGACATTCAATATAATACAAATGAAATAATTACTTATTAAGGATCAATTTTAATTAGCACATCTTTAGTAAATCTATTTCACATCTTATTAAAATTTCATCATTTTATTAAATCTACTTTGTAATTTGTAATATTCTGAATTTAAACAGTGTAAATTAGTAATTTCTTATTATTCAGCGAAAATGTAATCATTATTATGCACACAATAGTGGTACCGTGAACCGTATGATGTAATATCATACCATAACCTATACTTTATCATTTTTTGAGCTAGTTCTTGAAATAAGTAATATAAGAAAATATTCTTATATAGTTATGACAGTCAACAGTGAAGAAAATAAGGAACAATCAGTTCAACAGAAATGTGATAATACAAATGTAGGTTATTCCGACCTTTATCCAGGAAGAAAGCAAGCTCCAATTCGAAGTTGGTGGAGCAAACTTTTTTTAGAGGAAAAACTGGAACAAATCCAAAAAACAAAATGTGAACTTAACGTTTACGATTGTATAAAAGAAAGTAAGATTTTTTTTAGTTATTTTTTAACTTTTATTTCATTATATTGTTTTAGTTTTAATTATCATAAAATCTTATATCTTCTTCCTTTATATCTTTCCTTCTTTTATATTTTCCTCTTTTTGGAAAGTCCTTATCATAATTTAATAGTTTATACAGTTATATCGAAAAAATAAAATATAAATAATAATGTACAACAGTTTATTTAAATGTTATTGTACTATCTATCTGTAATATTTCTATTATAGTTATGAAAAATAATTTATATGTATAGAATATATTAATTGCACTACAAATTATGTAAGTCATGAATTTATGTACATTTAGAGAAACTAAACTTTTTATATATTTAAGGTCCTGCAGTCAAATTGATGATGGCAGCATTAAAGAGTTCAGGATGGTAGGTGGTAGATTATATATTTTTAAAATTCTTAAGTATTGTGTTCTATTTTGTGATGCTATTTAAAATGAATATATTTGATAGATATACATCATAGCATATATTGTAATTAAAATGTTGAGTGTGAAATTTTATTTTCTGCATTTGTATATTTTATATAAAACAAATAATATATATTGTTTTTATTTTTTATTTATTTATCAAAAGCGAAATTGATATTGGTCGTCACATTTCTTGTGAAGTATGTGATAAAGCAGTCACTGGTGGTTATGACCCACAATTAAATCAAGTGAGTATTGTGCATCAAATTTTTATACTATTGTTTAGTTAATATAAAATAATTGGTGTATTTCAGATCATAATTTGTCAAAATACAGCTGCAGACAAAGGTCGAGTTCAAAGTTCTTTGGTTCATGAAATGATACATATGTTTGATTACTGTCGTTATAATCTGAATCTAAAGAATGTGGATCATTTAGCTTGCACTGAAATAAGAGCAGCTAATCTATGTCATTGTAGTTTTCTGGGTGCAGTTACAGGGGGTACTGCTTCACCTTTCAAAATTAAACAAATGCACCGGGTAAGATACATTTATGAAATAAATTATACAAAATTTCTGATTTAATGTATTTAAAATATATCTATTTTTTTTTAATGATAACCTAAGCATTTAAATAACAATATTTACTACTTTATAGTGTAGAAATTTTCTTTACATATTTTCATTAAATAATCTTCTCCCTTATTGGTAAATGTACTATACAATAGAATATTCTTTAAAATTTCATATTATAATTTTATTAATTTCATTACTTTTAAATTATTTCTTGTTTAGAACTGTGTTGCAGACAAAGCTACTAGATCAATAATGGCAGTACAAGATGTAACAAAGGAAGAAGCAATTAAATCTGTAACACGAGTTTTTCATAAATGTTATAACGACTTAGAACCAATTGGAAGAAGAATTCGTAGAAATTCAGAAGATATGAAAAAAGCATATTTAGAAGCCTCACTATATGGATATATAGATTAAAATATGAATTATATGACTTATGAAGATATTAGAAGTTTTAAGTATAGTTTAAATTTTACTTTATATAAATATAAAGAAATTCTTTCATTAACTGTGTTGCTTAATTTTGTACCTCAAAATACTTATTGTAACAACCATCAACGAAGACAGCGACAAAAAATTTCCATTCCGCGAGAGGAAGCGAGAGGGACGACTCTCTATCCTCGTCGTCAATCAAATAATCGCGAAGCGATAGAAACTTCTAGAAGAAACTAGCTTGCGATCCGCGGTAGACTCTCGCGGTGAAAAAAAACGCGGCCAAGCATTCTTGCTATACTCTGCTGGGAGAGAACGAGGTATTAACATTGGTCGCCCTTCAGAGTGGGAGAGTACGAAGCCTAGCTTTTGGACGCCCTTACAGCACAGGAGAGTACGGGGATTGACACCTGAGTCACTCTCTAGAGGAGAAAACGGCTGGACTATCCGCCGGTCGCCTCTTAGAGAGGAGAGCTATTATAAGGGATGAAGTTATTATTTCAATACGCGATGCAACGACTCTAGTATTTACTAAAATTGAAAAATTCTTGTATAATTTCCGAAAATAGATTATTAATTACGGTAAACTAGTGAGACGGTTTAATCAAGGATGGGCATAGTGCAGGAGTATAGTGCACTCGTTCAAATCAGCTCACAATATAAATATATAATACAATAATACAACTAACTACTTAACATGCAATGCATGAAATTCCTAAGATAGCTGTAAATTATCAGTTTAGAAAATCACAAATCATAAAACAAATTCAAAATTCACTTTTCAATAACATAGAAAAATAAATAAAAATTAGAAAAACTGAAAGAAAATTAAATTACAAATACCTCGAAGAAAAGTACATGTTAAATTTAGAAATAACCTGTAACGAAAACGTATTTAATTAATGGATAGCTGGAACGTCCAAATTTTCATTAGCAAAATCTCAAATTCGATTCAATATGGAAACAAAGTTATTGGATAGTGGGTTTAATGAATAGCGTTCACTGTAAATTTTCTTAAATGTGTTTTTATTTGTATGGCGTGGAAGGACGTCTTTACTCTTCGAATTTCGTAGTCAAAGTGAAAGGAAAGAAAAAAACCGTAAGGGCACGACTGAAATTCTGTTGCGCATTTAAGGAAAGAGACCAAGAGTACATCAGTCTATTACGTTTCTTTCACTAGCAGTGTTTCTCATATGTATAACACAATTCATTTTTGCTTACTGGCTGACGCATTATTATTAGTAATAATCCAACAAAAGTCAATCCCCTATTCGACAAGGACGAAGAGCAACGATGACTAACATTGAAATCTCGATTTCCCCAAACCCCCAAAATAATTTCGAAATAATTCGTTCGAAGTGGACTATTCAATGCCTAACACTAACTCTCTAATAAGTTTGAATAATTGGAGAAGTGAAAAAGAATTCTAAGTAGAGTATTTAAAGTGTAGTAATAAAAATAAGAAATTTTGAGAGAAGGTAGTTGAGTGTGTATACGGTGGACATAGGCTGCTAGCAAGTAGCCCTCGACCACTCTACTCACGTCTCAGTACCCTCACTTCAAAATTACGCGAAGTGTCTAGGGCCCAGTATAAAGGGTAAATGATTTCGCGGGAGCTCGCGGGCTCTTATATACCTGCGGTACCCCCACCGCAAAGTCATTAGCGAAGTCGTTAGTAAGATTGGGCGCGAAACCTTGTTTTCGCGGGAAACGGACTACTTTTCGCGGGAGATCCATCACTTTTCGCGGGAAATCGATCGTTTTTCGCGGGAATCAATTATTTTTCGCGGGAAATCGCCGATTCTTTCGTAATTCTATTTTGCATTCTATTGTAATGTTATAATAACGTACAATTTATTAATGTTCACAATTGTTTTTGTAAATTTATACTTCTAACAATTTGTTACAACATTACATATAACAATTTATGCGTTTATACAAGTTTCTTCAATGGAAACGTACGTTTTAACGTTCTCGTTACTTACTCGTAGTTAAATTAATTTCGTAAGAATTAAAAATCAGGTTGACCTGTGGTCGTAGATTAAAAATAGCCATAGTACAGATAAAATTATCGTTTTAAATAATTCTTTTTATACGAATCAAAAATGTATTCAACGTTTAATTTAAAGTTCATTACGATTAAAAATCAGGTTGACCTGTGGTCGTATATCAAGAATAATCACAGTAAAACTAATATTATTATGTTGTAACAACCATCAACGAAGACGGCGACAAAAATTCCATTTCGCGAGAGGAAGTGAGAGGGACGACTCTCTATTCTCGTCGTCAATCAAATAATCGCGAAGCGATATAGAAGCTTCTAGAAGAAACTAGCTTGCGATCCGCGGTAGATTCGCGGTTTTACGCGGGAGTCTCGCGGTTTCGCGCGGGAAAACACTTGTTGATAAGCCGCGCTTCATTAGCAACGGGCAGATATAAATACCACGGCCGCGGTCGCGGTCAGGCATTCTTGCTGTACTCTGCTGGGAGATCGGTCGCCCTTCAAAGTGGGAGAGTACGGAGCCTAGCTTTCGGACGCCCTTACAGCACAGGAGAGTACGGGGACTGACACCTGGGTCAATCTCTGGAGGAGAGAACGGCTGGACTATCCGC